TTGGAAGGCAAAGACAGGGCAAGCTGGCTAGCCAGACTAGTGGAATTAGCTTCCAGTGAGAGACCCGACCTCAATATATAAGGTGGAAAGCAACTGAAGAAGGCCTCTGGCCTCTGTATGCACAAGCGCACTCATATGAACATGCATAGGTGCATATACACCATACACAGAGATGCAAACAAATTTTAATTAAAGATTTAAAACTTACAGCCAGGCATGGTGGTTCATGCCTTTAATCCTAGCACTCTGGAGGCAGGGACAGGTGAATCTCTGTGAGACTGAAGCCAGGCTCATCTACACAGTGAGTTCCAGGCCTGATGAGGCTGCAAGGAGACCCTGTCTCAAAAAGACCAAAAAAATAAATAAATAAATAAATAAATAAATAAATAAATAAATAAATAAATAAATAAAAATTAAATAAAAGCTTAAAATCTTTTAAAAATGTTTATACTCTTTAAATAATCTTTAATAACAGGGTAGCAGCACATGCTTTTAATTTCAGCACTTGGGAGGCAGAAGCAGATAGATCTCTGTAAATTCTAGGTCAGCCAGGGCTACGTAGTAAGACCCTGTCAAAATTCTTTAAAATATTTTCTGATTTGCTTTTTGTTTGTTTGTTTTTTCTTTTGTTCTTTGACACAGGGTCCTCCTGTAGCTCCAGCTGACCTGAGACTTGCTATGTAAACCAGCCTGGCCTCGATCCACCCATCTCTACCTCCCAAGTGCTTGGAATTTAAAATATTTTCACTCTTAAAAGATCTAGTTTTTTTTAAATATTTTTTATTTATTTTTATTTTATGTGTATGCGCATATTGCCTGCATGTAGGTAAGTTGCACTCATGTCATGTAATGCTTGCAGAGGACAGAAGAGACTGTCAGATCCCCTGGAACCAGAATTACAGACAGTTGTTAGCTGCCATGTGGGTGCTGGGATTCGAACCCACGTCTTCTGCAAGAAAAGTGTTCTTAGCCACTGAGCCATCTCTCCAGCCCCAAAAGATCTGGTTTTTGGCTGACTTCTTAAGGCAGGAGATCTCAGTTCAGAAAGTCTGTCATATGAACCCCATAATTCCATTTTCAGCAGTCATGTTTATCACAGGCTATTATGATTGCTGTGGGGTGGCTGATGGGTGGGAATGTAACAAGATGAACAAAATCAACTGTATGGACAGGCAGCCGAGGAGCCTCAGCAGTTGCCTGAGAAACTCACCACCTCTTTAGCAGTTCAACCATGAACTTCTGAGGAATGGAGAGAGCCCTACCCTCAGACAGCAGCAAGCACCAAATCAACCTTCCTTGAAAGGCAATTTGAACAGAGGATGCGGATTCTTAAGAGAATTTCTGAATGGTGTTCTTATTTCAGTACCTGTATGTGACAAAATTGCCCCTGAGCCGGAACCATCTACAGAGTCAACACAGCATTCCCTCTGTGCTGACTCAAACCTGACTTCTGCTGTGCTGCTGTGTTCAGATCTGGCCTGTGCTTGTACTTCAGACTTTCAGGACTCACAGTCACTGAGCAGGTGCCACTCGGATAAAGCAAGGCGACTGCTGGGCTTTCTGCTCCCTAGCAACCACGGTACACTGTCTACTCAAATATAGAAGGAAAACACCTTTGAGACCAGTCAGATTAAGCTTGTAAAACAGAGTAGTTTATCACCTGCCTTGAATCTGGTAATGTTTTACTTATGGAGCATTTGGGGAAATTCTGTTCTCCAAGAAGTAGAGGTCTGTTTACTTTTTGAATAAGAAATAAAACAATTTGTATTCTTTGAGCTCAGGTCAACAAATGATAAGTACTGTCAGGAACAAACTGGGTATTAGAAGGAAATAAACCAACTAGTGAATTTTGAACTTAAATTCTCTCAAGAGAAATCACAAAACTCATCCATACACCAAGGTAGTTTTCCTTTGGTTTGTTTAGTTTTTTTTTCTCTCTCTCTTTAGTTGTTATTAAGTTAAAGGCAATATGAAATCATCTATCCCTCAGAAAGTTAGGAGATCCAAACAGCTAAAGCAATCTTGAAGAACAGAGTTGGAATGCTCACACTTCCTGACCTCAAAACTTACTACAGAGCTGTAATTCCAAAATAGTGTGGATGCCTAGACTACTGGAATAAAGATGGACATCTAGACTATGGAACAGAATAGCCTAGAAATAAACTTTTGAATATTTGGACAAATGACTTTCCACAAGGTGCTCAGATTATTCCACTGGGAAAGGACAGTCTTTTCAACAAATGACATATGGAAACTGTGTATCCACATGCCAGAAATGAATTTAGACACTTACCTCACACCACACACAAAAATTAACTGAAAATGGATCAAAGATTCAAATATAAGACCTAGACTTTGAGAATTTTAGAATGAAATAAAGGAGGAAACCTAAATTGGATCTGTCAATGATTTCTTTCATATGATACCAAAGGCATAAGTAACAAGTGAGAAAAATAGGTAAGTTGGACTTCTTCAAAATTAAAAATACTCATCCCCAGGCCTAGAGAGATGGCTCAGCAGTTAAGAGCACTGGGTGCTCTTGCAGAGGACCTGAGTTCAGTTCCCAGCACCCACATGGCATCTCACAACTGTGCTTAACTCCATTTCCAGAGGGTCTGGTTCCCTTTTCTGGCCTCTGCAGGCATTACACACATGTGGTACACTTACGTACATGCAGGCAAAACACTCATACACAAAATAATAAAATAAAATAAAATACTAATACCCCAAGGACCTTGTGGAGAGAATAGAAATCAACCTGTGGAGCAGGGGGAAATATTTGCAAGTCATATATCTGATAAGATATTAATGTTTAGGATATATGAAGAATGCAAACAACTCAACAATAGCTACAACTAATGACCCAATTAAAACATGGCAAAGACAAATAGACATAGCTTCAAAGAAGATACACAAATGACCAATAAGCACATGAAAAGATGTTCAGTGTTGTTACTCATTACGGGAATGCAAATCAAAATCATGACAGTACACTATTTCTCCCCTGTTATGATGTTATTAGTATTAAAGTCTAACAATAAGTGTTGATAAAGATGTGAAGAAATTGGAACCCTTATACATTGCTGGTCAGACTGTAAAATGTACAGCTACTGTGAAAAACAGTATAGTGATTGTTCAAAAATTAATACAATTGTCCATTCTAGGGTCTATATCCAAAAGTAGTAAAAAGCCAAGACTCGCAAATGTTTGCACACCTTGTTCTTTACAGCATTGGTCACAATAGCCAAGAGGTGGAAACAACCCACACCTCCAGGGGGAATGAATGGGTAATGTGCATATACTGCAATATTGTTTAGTTTAGAAATTTTGACACATGCTACAACATAAGTGAACCTTAAAGGCATTAGGGTAAGTGAACTAAGCCAGTCACAAAAGGGCAATTTGCCATATGGCCCCATTTTATATGGCAATCCTAGCATGATGGAGACAAAAAGAGAACAGTGGCTGCCGAAAGCTGTGAGAGGATACTGGAATGCTTAGTGATTACAGAATTTCAGTTTTCAGAGATGAGAAATGTTCCGGAAGTGGACGACTCTGAGGGCTACATAACAATGTGAGTGTCACTAATGATACAGAAAGCTCTACCCACATGCTGTTAAACCAGAACTCTCATGGAATACACATTTTACCATGGCAAATGCAAGAACCAGAACTAGGTGAACAGGTTGTTAGAAAACTATGAAGAAGTGAAATGCCCTATAACAGAGGAGTAAGAATCGTTGAGACATCATTACCCACTCAGCTGGGATGTTTACACAGCCAGTAGCATTTACTGATGGTAGCAACATGGAAAACATCTGTGGTACAGTATTAAGTAGGGGGAGGTAAAACTGTCATGTGTTATGATTGCAATTATACATAAGTCTGGTTCCAGAGAAAAACTGAAATAAAATGTTAAAGTGCTTTGAATTTTTACATTAGGCTAGTGAGATGGTTTGCTTTGTTTGCATCCATTTCCTGTTTTGAGAAACAGATGTAATAATCCTTAATACAAAGTGAACTGATAATCAAAAGTGAAAAGTAGCAAGGAAATTTTTTAAATAAATTTTTAATATTTTTTCATATTATCCTTAAAATCCAAAATACTGAATTTTCAAGCTTTGGCAAAATCCCATAAATCCATAAGGTTGCTGAGAAAACCACCTTAATCCTCTGCTTCAAACGCCAGTCAGGAATCAGGTCACTGAGCAGAAGTCACAGAGACAAGCATCTCTAAAGGGAGAAACTTCTAAAGGAATGGCATACTTTTGTCACTGGGCAGACAGCTTCCTAGAGGCAGGATACATGCCAGAAAAATGCCTATCTAGGTTAAAACAAACTCTAAGTTCAGCAAACAGGGCAGCCTTGAAAAACACTCTCCAAAATGGCACAGTGATAGCAAGTGCGCCCTACTGCATCCATCATCTTTCTCCAACTCACTTGTTGACATCATCCCACTGTCTCTGACAAGTGCCACCTCAGTCATCTGGCTCTCTCCCATCCATTGAATAAAAAAGATTCAGAATGAATGTCCCTAGAGTTCAGATGATAACATTCTTTAGAAGGGGTAGGGGGCCAGGAAAATGGGCAAGTGTCACCAGTAGCCCTAGCTGCTTATGTGGAAACTGTAGCCCCCTTATAATCTTCCCATGCCCTCACCCTTAGAGTAGCTCACAGTAGGGTCAACTTCACATACAGTGTCTCCAGGATCCTACAAAGGCTCTTGTGCCAAGGTTGCCAGATTCACAGAGTTCCAACCACTATAAGCCAACCTCTATTGTCTTTTCTGAAGGGTCCTGTTGTTACCAATTTCCTGTAAGAACCTCATCTGGTACCTTCCAGAGCCATTGTCCATGCAGGGAATGGCACCAAGTGTTCTCATCCATTTAGGTCCATTTACATGATGCTCTTGGATTCTGCTTTGAGGAAGCTTTTCAAAATCCCAGCTTCTCTTCTGACCTCTGTCTTTTTGCATCATTCTGGTCTCTCATCAATCCCAGGTGGTTCGGGACCAGATCTCTCACTGCACAGTGAAACTACGCCAGACCACAGGCCTCATGGAGTACTGCCTGGAAGTGATTAAGGAGAATGATCCTAGTGGCTTTCTGCAGGTCAGTGTTAACTAGTTTCTGCTTCTGAGTCCAGATGTCCCATGGGACTGCATATAGGGCACTTAGATGGGACATCAGCAACCTGGCTTACCATGGGTCCCTCAGTAGCAGAACACACCTACACTGCAGTGGGCATGCCTGCTAACTGAACTCCACTGACTTCCTGGACATCTCCAACACCCTGTGCTATGACTGAGAAATGCATGGTCTGTGCAGGGGTTGCTTTTGCGTTTGTGTTTAATCATGAACACATAATTCCCCTTAAGTATTGCCTTGCCCAAGAACTGAGCCTTCTCCATTACAGTTCTGGATGGTTTTGTCAGCTCAAAGCCTCTGGGTGTGCAAGGTTCATACCTTGTTCGTTCCTCAGTCCTGGTCAGTAAGTCAGAGATTTTTCAAAGATAGTCAAGGGTTTTGTTTTGTTTTGTTTTGTTTGCTTTTTCAATGTTCATTATGAAATTCTATAGTGTAAGCTGGATTTTTCATGAGTTTTTTACGCCATAAGCTTAATAATAAGGAGCTTTTTGATAAGCTGAAACAACAGATCTAACTCACCTTCTGTGAAACTGGCCAAGAGTAACAGAGGGAGGCTAAACATAGGAAATGAAACAGTTCACTTCCAAAGAATAAAGTGATCATCCCATGAAGACAGTAAAGTTAAGATGTGAGAGTCTGTGTGTGCAGCTTGTCTAGACTTCAAACTTTCAAACCTCATTCCCAATTTTGTCTGGCTACCTGCACCTTGAAATAGAAACTTAGAGCTGTTGGCGCCAGTAGGATAAAGTTATTTCCACCATATTGTGCTTTACAGTGTCGGCTCAGAGGCTCAGTCATAAATGCACAATTGTATATCCAGGTTTGTCTGTTAATCAGTTTACAGCTGCTAATTATGGATAATGCCTTCCCTCTAACTCAAGAAAAGTGTTCAGATTTGCTTCATGAACTGTGGGAGGAGTGATGCAATTGAATGTGACATTGAATTTCTGAAGCTGTGGTCTTTGATGTAATTAGATTTCAGATGCCCTCATAAGACGAGTGCACTTGACTGAGGATCAGTGGGGGAAGGGCACACTCACTCCCAGGATGACCACAGACTTTGACTTGAGCCTGGACAACAGCCCTCTGCTGCAATCCATTCATCAGCTCGACTTCGTGCAAGTGAAAGGTGGGTACTTGCATTGATGACTCAGCGAGGGAGTGGTCCTGAGCAGATGTTGCTGCTTGAAGCAGGGTTAGTGACCTGTGATGAAGGCTATAAGATCCAGGGTGCTGCTAGAGATAGCTCAGGAGATAAGAGCATTTCCTGCTCTTCCACAGGACCCAGTTCAGCTCCCAGCACCCACTTCAGGAGACTCACAACCACCTGTAACTCCAGCTCCAGGGCATCTGATGCCCTTTTCTGGCCACCCCACACATGGCATATATACATGCACAGACACGTAAATAAAACATAAACATAAAATATTTTTTTTAATACAGAGTGGCTCTTATCTGTATCAAGTAATGAAAACATCTCCTTTTAGCTGTGTTACTCACTTCTGAGTCAGATAAATTCAGATCCTCTTAACACTTGATTCTTCCAGAGCTCTAGAGATTTCCCATCAGCAACACAGTAGGTGACATGCACAGAGGTAGTCAGAAAGAGACATCACTGCACATAGCTAAAACCTTGCCATGAGAAGTCACCCTGAAACAGTGTTGTAAGTCAAGGGAATCTTGGATTAAAATGAAGGGTTCCACCTGGATGGAGAGAGCAAGCCAGCTGTTAAGTGTTAGTGGGGGTGGAAGGTGAATCTTAGAGGATGGGCATCAGTTTGCCAATACTGGCAGAAAAATGCAAGCTGGGAAAGGAAATGAAAACTCGAGATAAAGTTTAAAATTAGTTTGTGTAACTAAGAGGTATGACAGGATCTGTCTGAACTTTTTTAAGTTGAGGGCCACAAAGGAAACTTAAGTATAAGTCTTTCAAAGAAAAATAAAAACTCAAACCAGCTATACAACAATACTTTTTATGGCAGTGTGAATAACCTCCGTCTGAAGGCTATTTCTGATTTTTCAAATTTTGGTTTTGAAACACATTCATGGGAAACTGCAAAAAATAGTAAGGAACCCTTTCTACCTTCATCCCGTTTCCCACAATGGTTATGTGCTGTATAGCTATACTGCAATGACAAGACAGAAAAGGTGACATCAACACAGGGTGTGCCTAGTTCTCTGCTATCTTGTGACATGTATAGCTTCATATAACCACCACGGCAATCAAGAAGTATTCCAAAGTCAGGTGTGATAATGCACACCTGTAATCCCAGCAAGGAGGCAGAGGCAGGAGGACCATGAATGCGCTCAGGCCAGCCTGAGCTACAAAGTAACATCCTGTCTCAAACACAAAACCAAAAAGAAAACCTTTCATCACAACTCCTCCTGCCATCACCCCAAACTCATGGCAACCACTCCAACTTTACCATGTTATTATTTTCCTATCTTTTTTTTTAAATAGGGCTGAGCATGGTGGTACACACCTTGAATCTCAGCACTCAGGAGGCAGAAGCAGGTGGATCTCTGTGAGTTCTCAGCCAGTCTGTTCTATATAGTGAGTTCCATACTAAACACAGCTATCTCAAATAAACAAACTAAAATATATAAACATTCAAACAATGCAAAAATGTAAACAATTCTTAAGGGACTGGAGAGATAGCTAAATGGTTAAGAGTACTTGCTATTCTTGCAGAAGACCAGAATTCAGTTCCTAGCACCTCCGGGTCCAGAGAATCCAATGTCCTCTTCTGACCTCTGCAGGCACTGTACTCATGTATACAAACCCACACACATATGCCCATAATTAAAAAATTTTAAATATATGTATATTTTTAAAACTGAAAAAATTTATTCTCATCCTGCAGCTCTTGATTTAGGTATCCACATAATAAATAGATCTTGAAATTAAAGCATTACAAATTTTGTAACTGCTTCCTTTTATCAGACAGAGAGACTCGTATGACCCAAGAAGTTTTAATGCTGTTAGGGCTGATCCAAGTTATTGGCGCACATATTTCTCGTGACTTTTTGCTCTCATTTATTTTCGGTTTCCTCACTTATTGATTAATATGTGTTGCTTTGGAAAAAAAACCTGAATATTTGAACTGGTAATTAGATAAGCTAAAATGCTTTGTTACAATAAATTGGGGGCACTCATGGGATGTTAACCAAAGCAGACTTTCACTCGAGTGCAGTTGACTTCTTCACCTCAGTGTTTTCTCATGGCCCTAGAAGCCAACTACGAAAATTGGGGCATGGGAAGCTAGACAGTGGCAGGGTTAGGATCATCCCAGGAAGTCACTTCATAACACAGTGGTCCAATTTCCAGTTCATGTTACAAAACTAGTGCCTTCCCAAGCAGCTTCTTTCAGGAATGTCTGAATTCCTTTCAGGAATTTGATAAGTGTGATTTTTGTGCTGCAGTAATCCTTTCTCGCTGTTAAAATATTTTTTTGACAGCTACGTCGTCTATTAATTAAACTTTGTCTTGTTGACTCTAAAGCCCCTGTTAAATTCCCCCACTGTCAGCCCCTCTCTATCCCCAATTCTTCCAACACAATAAATCCACTGATAAGTCTTAAATGCCAGGTAGGAGAAAATGTGTCACAAGAGAGCAATATTAAGGCTTTTGGTGGAAGGAGAAGAAATGAGCCAACCCAATTAGCCTTGGTGATGTGGGCGTTGGAGGACAGAGGCTTTGTAGCTTTGAAGTGCTTTCATCAGCTGGCAGAGCTGTCCTCTCCCACATTCGTCGCCCTACTGAGTCCGGTCTGTCTGCCCCTGATGGAGTCCAGGCCAGCTGACAGGACGGTATCTGCAATGAACAGCACCTTCAGCTGTATGAGGATTGTGGGTCCGTGTCCCAGACATCACAGACTGCATTTCCACCAGCTGTCACTTTGCCACTTAGCACTGCACATAGAGGTGAGCACGGGCACTGCTATGTGTGTGGGCAGGCTGCTTGAGTCTGTACGCACAGCAGAGAATGCAGAGCACCCAGTGCAGCAAACACCTGAGATAGAGCATCCAGAACAGTTGTTTACAACATTAATATAAAAGACCTGGGCATGAGACTGGATCTGCTTAACACTTCCTCTTAATTTATTTTTTATTATTTTCACTCTGCCTTGTTAATCTATATGCCTTGCTCTGTGCTTATTAAATTTAATTAATTCAATGAGAGGCCAGTCCTCTTGACACTCTGAATAATTTTTACCTGTCAGATACTTGAGATGGAAAGAAAAAGCCAAAGGTTGTGAGGATAGACTTTGACTGCAGTCAAAATCTACTGGCCTCTGCAGTGTCTGTCTGTTAGCACACATACCGCTGCTCCTACTGCAGTGTTAGGCTTTCTGTTTTGTAAAGACATCCTCAGTTTAATGAACGGCCCTTCCACAACTTGTCAATGAAAATATCAAAAAACTGCACCCTAAAAATCCAAGTACAAGTGATCAAAGTTAAGTAGTGTTTGGAATAGGGTTAACGTAATCTGACCATTCTGAAAACAACAATCAATATAATTAGATATTTTTTCTAATTATGCTTGTGGATTCGGTAGAAAGTTAAAGTATTTTTTGAAGTAATTTAAAGTATGCATCTAAAGTTATGACTCACACCTGAAATATCTGCTTATTCCTTGACACAAAATATTAGACTTTTCCTAGTTTTGAACTGTTATCACAGGTGTCCTTTTCCTGTTGTCGTGTTGCAGGAGCAGGCCTGTGGCTGTTATCTTCTGCTTGGGGTAGCTGCTGTTTTAGCAATACAAGTTATTGTCTTACTAGCTAAGGATTTAGTTGTTCAGTGATTTCTGATTATATGGCACCCCAAGGTGGTGAGCTCTACCTGAAGCACACTGGGCTTTCTCGTTCACATATCCCTAAATTGTAACTGTATGTTCTCTGGTTGTATCTTAATTAGAAAACCTTCTTACCTTCTTTCAAAATAATTAGGAATACTGTTTGATTTCCTAATCTTTTCTTTTATAGAAAATGACAAACTAAAGTTGGTCTCCTGTTTTATTAGAAACTATTTTAAGAATATGTTTTGTATTGTTTTATCCCTAATTCTGGGATTGTCAGCTCTTCCCCAGGTCATGAAAAGGAGGTTTCAGGTCTTCCAAGGGTTCTGCTCTTTGGTTAAGAATAAATTTTTGACATCTACTCTTTCTCTGCAGAATATTACCCTAGAATTGTGTGGGCACACAGAGTATCTCAAGTCCTGGTGCTAAAAGCAAACATCAGCATATTAATTCTGAACCAGGAAAAAGCTGTGACCTAAAACTTCACTAACCTTTTTAGTACATAGACCAAATGGCTATTAATTCCACTAAGTGCCTCTCCTCCCCTAAGGGTGTATTCATCTTCCTTAACTCCTCTTGAATGCAAGTGCCCTTGTTGTATACCAAGGTCATAGGCAAGGACAGAGCAATCTGAACAGACTCTTGCTACGCATCTCAAGGATGAAGCTGCCAGAGAGTCTGGCAGGGATGGATGAACACACACATATGCACAAATAATCTGTTCATATGGAGAGGTTTGGGAGCTGAAATGCACATCCTCAGAACATGTGTTAAGTTCATCCTTTCTAGTCGTAACTTTCTACAAACAGCCTGCATTTCCTCTAAAGCACTCATATTGTCTGGCCACCATAAGGAGGAACGGTGGTTGGCAGGTAACCCTTCAGAGATGCTGATGCAGTAAAATGGCATTCCTGCGCACTGTAGTTCTAAAGAGGAACTACTTCACTCATGCCAACGGCAATGCTTGGGAAACTTTGTCACCCACGGTATAAGAAGCTGAAGAAAAGATCTGGATTAAAGTGTGAGATGCACCTCTAGTATACAGTTCCTGAGCCCCGAACTTCAGAAGCAAGCAGATGCAGTGCCAAGCCCACAGCCCGCCTGCTGGGCTTCAGGTCCCACCCCTGCCACTTGCTAACCACAGAACCTCTCCAGGTTTCAGTTTCTTCATCTGTGAAACGGGGATAAGAGGAGGGTGGTTGTGTAAGCCTACTATCACATACTGAGTTCATAAAGCTTTGCTTTGGATTCATGCTCCATGGGGTAGAGGGGGAGGAGGAAGGGAAACCAGCTTCCTTTCTCCCTTGTGCTCACCGCACGCCTCCTGTTTATTTCGCAGAGGAATTCTGGAGGGTTTTGAGTATTCATAACCTGAGGAACTGAAAAAATTTAAGTAGGGAGAGAGCAGCCTTCCAATGAGGAGAAGCTGAAAACACTGACAGAAGTCACTGTCGCAGAGCATAACCCTGAGCCACACCTCTAGACTCTTCGGGGAAATTAGTCCAAGTAGCTACATATTGTATCCAAGAGAATTACCAACCTGTAGCTCAAGTTTATAGGCTAAGGGAATATTAAATGCTAGAATTATGATCAGATCAGGAGAAACCTATTATAAAGGGAAAACCCAAGATGACCCAGAATGAACATGAAGGGATAAAGATCAAGATAGTTGTGATAGCACTGTGTACAAAAGCTTCAATAAAATAAAACATTTTTGGACACCAGCCCTGAGCTGTAATTTATCTGCTGCCAAGCCATAAAGAACAGAATGATTGAAAATACCATGGATTTATTTTATACCTAATAAAATGTAATAGGGTAACTTAACACCCACTATAAAATCTATTTTTCTAGCCAGGCATGGTGGCACACACCTTTAATCCCAGCACTCGGGAGGCAGAGGCAGGTGGATCTCTGTGAGTTCAAGGCCAGCCTGGTCTACATAGCGAGTTTCAGGCCAGCTGGAGCTACAGGAAGACCCTGTCTCAAAAAGACCAAAAAGAAATCTATTTTTCTAAATATCAGCGTGAGTCTTTGCTAATGAGGCTGTAATTTTGTAACATGTACTTTTTGTCTACAACATCATTTGGGGGTAAATGAGGAATAGATAAATATGGAAAAAGTATTCTTAGCACATGGAGAAATAGATTTAGATATGCAACACATTTTGTTTAGAAGTATGTATGCTTACGTGTGAGTCCCCCTCCCTGCTATATTGTTCATTTGCTTACTGTTTAAATCAGACACGACACTGAGATCTATTGGTTAATGACAGGTTGTCATTACAGTATTACAGCATTTATGTTCTAGTTTGCTTCTCTATTGCTATGATAAAACATTCTGCCCCAAACCAACCAATATTGAAAGGGTTGATTTGGCTTCCATATCCAGAGCACAGTTCATCCTCAAGGGAAGTCAGAGAAGGAACTCAATGAGGGAACCTGGAGGCAGGAGCTGGGGCATGGAGCAGGGAGGAATGCTGCTTACTGGCTTGCTTCCCCTGGCTTGCTCAGCTGTTTTTCTTATAGCACTCAAGACACCTGTCCAAGAGTGGCAACCAGAGAGCTGGGCCCTCCCACAGCACTCAACAATCATAAACATGCCTCACAGACATGCCCATTAAAGGAAATACCCTAGTTGAGGGTCTCTTTTTCCAGGTGTGTTGACAACTGAAGCCAACCATGACGGTATCCATTGGTGAGTTATATATGTATTTTGATTAATCATTTAAAGAACCTGTACAAGGAATTTTGAGTTTCTTCTCAAAGACATTGTGAGATCTATATCATTCAAGTGGAAATCGTCTTGAAATCTTATTCCTTGACTTTGTAACTGAGATGTGTACTTGCCTGCTGCGTGAACAAACGAACAAAGAAAGACCGTTTGTGTCAAGCAATAAGCAGATATTTCAGGTGTGAGTCATAACTTTAGATGCATACTTTAAGTTACTTCAAAAAATACTTTAACTTTCTACCGAATCCACAAGCATAATTAGAAAAAATATCTAATTATATTGATTGTTGTTTTCAGAATGGTCAGATTACATTAACCCTATTCCAAACACTGCTTAACTTTGATCACTTGTACTTGGATTTTTAGGGTGCAGTTTTTTGATATTTTCATTGACAAGTTGTGGAAGGGCCGTTCATTAAACTGAGGATGTCTTTACAAAACGGAAAGCCTAACACTGCAGTAGGAGCAGCGGTATCTGTGCTAACAGACAGACACTGCAGAGGCCAGTAGATTTGACTGCAGTCAAAGTCTATCCTCACAACCTTTGGCTTTTTCTTTCCATCTCAAGTATCTGACAGGTAAAAATTATTCAGAGTGTCAAGAGGACTGGCCTCTCATTGAATTAATTAAATTTAATAAGCACAGAGCAAGGCATATAGATTAACAAGGCAGAGTGAAAATAATAAAAACTAAATTAAGGAGTGCTTTTACAATAGGCCTAGGTGATGACAGTGGTTCATAACAAATGTCCCAAGGAGTCATTCAGCTGTGTGTCTAAATGCCCTTCAAACAACAGTTTGGCTAAACTCAACTGTACTTCCACAATAAAAGTGATGACATGCATTCCTTTTATAAAGCAAACACTGCAGTGCTGCTGTGGCCAGGGGTCCCTGAGAATATTCCATCCGGTATTGTTGAGACAGGAAGCATGACTTCCCTCCCTAGATCACCTCTAATTAACTAGTCTCTGAGTTTGATAAACTTCTGCTTGATTTCATAGCTCAGATACGGCTTTGTTCTAAGTCTTCTCCTAAGCAAAGGATGAGTAGCCTGCTTCACCTTTACATCTGCTGTGTTGTACTGGATGCTTTTGTCTCCTAGATCACCCACCATAGAGCCTGTCTCCTGAACTGCTCTTAAATCTACACCTTCTTGGTTGACTAACAGAAACATATTTAATTCAATGCATGACACATAAAGTTCAGTGTCAGTGCAGCGTGCCAGGTATTCCATAAGTAATTTGGTCATCTCAGTGTCTTTGAATGTGGTCCAGGCTGGAGTTTTTCATGTTATAAAAGTGCTAAAAAATAAAATCAATATTTTGGTACTAAATGGTTTTTAAATATTTGGTAAAACCCCGGCTTTCAGCTATATGTGTTAAGTTCATATGTTAGTAACTAGGATTGTTGACCAATGTTTTTCTGTGTGTCTAAAGGTTCATCTATTCTGTAGTTTTCAGTAACATAAAAGACTCAGTCTATCTGGACATGGTGGTGCACTCCTTTAATCCCAGCACTCAAGAGGCAGAGGCAGGCAGATCTCTGTGAGATGGAGGAGCCTGGTCTACATAGCCAGTTCCAGGCCAGCTGGGGCTATGGGAGACCTTATCTCAAAAAAGGAAAAAAGACTTAGTCTAAAATGTAGAGGGGGTGTTGTAACAGCACAGCAGACCCTCTCAAACCCTGAGGACACCAGGAGCCTCTTGTCATAGGGCCTCCTGTCACACCCCAGTCAGCCCCTGTACTACCCCTGGGTTCACTGTCAAGTGTTCAATATGTGAAAAACGAGTGGACTTGACCTTGTGCTGTTTCCAAGTATGGTGTCAGGTTCCTCAGAAATGTCAAAATTGAGTGACCTTACTTTGTATTGGATACCAATTTTTTAATTAATAATTAATTTTATGTGTATGAATTATGCCTGCATGTATGTAAGTGCACCCATGTGATGCAGTGGTCTTGGAGACCAGAAGAGGGATGCTGGATCCTTTGAAACTGGAGTTATGGACAGTTTTTAGCCACCATGTAGGTGGTGGGATTCAAACCCAGGTCTTCTATAAGAGCAGCAAGTGTTCTTAACTACTGAGCCATCTCTCCAGCCCCAACACTAATTCTTTTTTAATCCATTGTTATTGCTGTTTACAGGTACAAGAGCTGGACAATCACTCAGTAGACGGATGGATAGATAGATTGATAGGTGAGGGAAGTAGGATTCAGAGCTATTTCTAAGAATAAGCAGTCCCCAGTTTATAGACTGGTGTTTAAATACTCTGTTTTGTGATAAAGTTATTTGCATGGTTTCAACAATGTTTTGAGTTAAGTAAGGTTTAATGGGCTGGCTAGAATCCAGTCCCTATAAACTGAATTCCCTTAGAGATGAAGATTAGAAAAGACCAGGTCTGTGGTTATGCCAACCCCTCTCTAGCCAGCACAATTAAAGGCCTCCTGTACTTAAGACAAGGCTTCACGGCCCTTCTGAACTGCCCTTACCCTTAGAGACTTTAGGAGGATCCCATTCTGGCCCCTGGGCTGACACATACCAACATGTTGCAGGGCAGGGGTTATCAATACAAGATAATGAAACATTTGCAACCCAACAGAAAATAGAGTTGCACTTATTTCTCTTTAGCTTCCTCTCCAGTCCCAGCAACCCCCATTCTACAGCTGGAGGAGTGTTGTACCCACAATAACAGTGCTACACTGTCCTGGAAACAGCCCCCTCTGTCTACCGTGGCTGCTGAAGGATACATTCTGGAACTGGATGATGGAAGTGGTGGTCAGTTCCGGGTAAGCAGACAACCTACAACTTATTAACCAGTGCCAGTGACCTGCTGTGCAGTCCCCACCTGACTCCCCCATCTCTCCTGGGAATGGACCACCCAAGCAGGAACCACCTCTCTTCTATCATCAGAGATATATGGTGTTTCCCAGAGCATCTTACTCTTCTGAAGAGACAGTCTAGTTGTGTGATGGAGCCTGTTTCTTGTCTCTCTGAGCTTTCAGGTCCTGATTTGCAAATGAAAGAGATGATGACAATAACCTGTATGTCATGTCTTGGTGCTTAGGGTCCATTGGATAATCCAGGTAAAAGTACACAACAAGCCCACAGTGTTAGCTGTTATCATTATCATTATGATTTCTTGCTAACAATATCACTAACCATGGTCTAGGGCTTATTTATACAACCACAAATTCTTGGACTGTCACTCTTCTTAACTTGCAAGCTCTCCTGTTATTGTCTTGCTCTTCAAAGTTTTTCTAGCAAATCTTTCTACAATTCTCTTTTTCCCTGACTCTTTCACCAAACAGAAATGGTGCCCAAAAATTATTACTTCCACAAGGCAAGGGCGTCCTAACCCCACATGGAAGGTCATAGTTCCCTCTGAACATAGGGTGCTTGCCTTTTGGCAGGACATGGCCATGATGCCCACAGGTTAATGATCTCTGTGTGGCTGCTGTCTGTGGGTACCTGCTTCTCTCACACACAGAGATTTATTCTCTGCTCTCTCCTTCATACATACCTAGCTTTCTACCTGCTCCACCTCAGTCTTATCTGAGCTTCTTTCCTAGCTCATGCCGGCACTGCCCAAAGGAGCCTTCTGGTGCTGAGGTCAGTCTCAACACTGATGAAGAGGAGACCAAAAGCAAACCCCAAGCCCTGGAGGATGAATCTTTCTTCTAGTCAATGGCCAGACCTGGGCTACTAACTTCCAAGAGCAAAGCCTCCTCCTCCTCCTGAATGATTTTGGCTCTCTGCTAGGTTTAATTTAAGTACTTTCAAGCAGGCATGGTGTCTTCTACAGTTCTCAAGACTCTCTCTTTCAGTAGGGAAGACTTTATTTACATATGTGTTGATTGGCGTGGAAAAAATCAAGTTTCTTCTTTTCCAAAATAAAGGTCTTGGTTCCGTTCAGTTGATGCCATATGAAGAGAGAGAGAGAGAGAGAGAGAGAGTAAGTAACAGTGTGTCTGTTGGTCAGCTTCTTGCCCCTACCTTTGCCTCCTTAGTTCTTGTTTTTCTGGGCCTTTCTTTTCTCTTTGTTATTTTTCTCTCCTCATTTTCCTCATTCTCTAAACAGTTGCTCCCAGTCACCATATTCTAGACATCATTTCAGGCTCTTGTGCTTCCAAGGCCTCTTGTTTTTCCTGCCTCCTTACCACCTAGATGCTGACCCTCCCCAGTGCATCTCCCCCACCCACACCTCTCCTCTGAGAGCCAGGCCCAGATTTCTACCTGTGGCAAATTTTCTACTTTGACACCTTGAAGTCAGCCTAAACTTATCATGCTTTAAAGTGATTATCTTTCACACTTGAACTTCTTTTCTAGCTCTCCTTTCTTAGACATTATGCTCAGAACCTTAGCGCCAGCTGGCTCTTCTTTCCTTAGGCCCCAGCATTAAGGAAGTCAGCAACCCACTGGTCCCTTCTAGTCAGCCCTGTCTCTCACATCTGGGTCTTTCCTCTTACTCCACAACTACCATAAGAAGGAATCACCCTGGTGTTGGGATATGACTCCTCCAAGGGCCCAGCTCCAGAGTCTTCCTTCTTTATTCTTTGCCTACCTTCTCAAATGCAGGCCTCCCCAGCACTGACTTCACCTGGGGACATAATAAAAATACAAAAATCTCAGGCCCCAACCAAGAGGCCTACAGGACCAGAAGCTGCATTTTAAATAAGCTTCACAGATGATTCAGATGCACAAAATGTCAGAAGCACTGAATGAGGGAGCATAACATTCAGATTTTCCTGACTGCTGCAGTAGAAATAGGTTGATGTGATGATGCGAGACCCAAAACAGAGTTGTCACTTTAAAGCTGTGCTTTGAATACAAGTTGTTCTTACTCATTATGTCAACATAACTTTGCAAAGTGTACAGCTGAAGAGGGAAGCAAATGCCTAACCTATGCTCAGGATGCATTCTGCTAGGGATTTATTTTAAGCCTTTGAAATGTCATTCTTCCTCCCCCTTCCCTCTGTACTGTGGTATAAACCTATACTCCAATGGCCTCCAGTATAATCCTGTGACAGTTCCTGAAGTTATTGGTGATGTTAAAAACAAAGCTTAGAGACCACCCTCGTGTTTTCACATTTTTAACATGTCTTTTTACAGACCATACTGCTGGGTAAAGATGTAACATTCTGCATAAACACCAAGTTATATAAAGAAAGCATCTTAACTATGAACACCCAGTTTTAATTTTTAAAGCCCTACCTGCCCATAACTATTAAGTTACTGAGCTCTTGTAAACTATGATAGCCAGATATATGATGTTATATGATCTTCACACCCATCTCAAACAGTAGATAATAATGCCCGTTTTACAGGTTAGATAGTTGATGCTTTAAGCAATGAATTAAATGGCCCAATATCTCACAGAATTCAAACCCAGATCAGACTGTGCTCATAGGGACTCAGCAGCACTGCCCCTCTCGTTCCTCACAGGATTCACATTAAGTAGTATCCTGTTATCTGTTAACAGGAAGTATATGTTGGAAAAGAGACAATGTGCACGGTGGACGGCCTTCACTTCAACAGCACATATAACGCACGAGTCAAGGCCTTCAACAAAACAGGAGTCAGTCCCTACAGCAAGACGCTCGTCCTACAGACGTCTGAGGGTAAGGCCCTTCAGCAGTATCCCTCAGAGCGAGAACTTCGTGGCATCTAACGTGGCTGGCAGCCCGGAGGTAACCCCACCAGTGCCCACACTCCTGAAGTGTTTCCATGACTTGCTCTGCATCCGGCCCCAGAGCCGCTGTTCCTCTCCTGCCTTTAGAGAGTCCATGGGATGTGGATGTGAGCAAACCAAAGGTTCCACATCGGCAGTTGCAATGGTTCGGGCCATCGGCTTCCTTTGCTAACATTCTAAATAAGCTCCAGTTGAAGAAGCTGAACATGAGGGCCTGAATGTGCCCCTGGTGTCTAAGACAAATGTACCTAGGCTCTAGAGCAGGCTCCCATTGTCCACCGAGCCACGTCAGTGGCCAGTATTCCCCCAAATGATTCTCAATGTCTTTGTAGTTCTTGCTTGTTCCTGAGTGGGAAAGTAGGTTCTTTCCAGTTGTGGATCTGTATGACTTGAATATGTTTCCAGTGGGTGTGGGATGCTAGAGCCGTTCAGAGAGGGCCTGTTGGCCGCTCCTAGCTTAACCAGCTCCGACCACCTCCTTTCCTACTCAGAGCCTAGGTCATCAACACCAGGACTGAGATTTCCTGTGAGCAACAAACAGGAAGAGACCAGCAGCTCTGCTTTACCACACCATGTCCGTCTTTGCCAATCCCTCTAGTGGTGGTTAGGCTGCCTGGGACCACTGTACAATACTGTCTCTAGAGGACAGTTGCTTCTTAGCTATACTGTAAATATTTTGGTCATCAAAGACTATCTCTGAAGAGACCTATATCTGATGGCCAGGTATAACCTCTGAGGCTTTTAATGTTTTATTTTAAAAGCAATTGTGGCACATGAAATTAAACCTATGATGAGGTATTTGTGGCTGGTGCCAAAGCATTTTGAGACTTTGGGGTGCCGTTTTAATCACAGAAATCACCTCCTACCCCACTGTCATTTTCCATAACTAAGCTCTGCAGAGCTGATGATGCTGACTTTGTTCAAGTTCAAAATGTTAGTCAGAAGATTTTCTCCTACTTTCCACAAACCTGGGCATGTGTCAGTCACCCCTAAAATGGTCCACATGGTTAAAAACAAGCACAACTTTGAAGCTCGCAGTGAGGGTGAAAGGCCCATAGCTGTGAAAGCAGTGCTTTGGGGAGCAGTTGTAAGTCTGAGGGAGGCTATTCAAAGACAAGGTTTTGTTGAGGACGAATTACTCCCCTGACCCATTCCTACACAGAAGACAGTGACATAGCGGTTAGCACTTCCCCCAGACTAAACATTTTAACAACTTCTTTCTAGGATGACCTAACAGTTTGAGACTGTTGCCTCTTTTCCTAAAATGTCATGCTAAATGCTAAGCGCCTCCAAGAGTTCTTTCCAGAGCAATGCAGAAGGCCCCTGATGGTGCTGACCACATTTCCCCAGGGTGCTCATGGTGGTTTCATTGAAATGGGAAGTGCATGCTGGCAGAGCAGGGAGAGATCTGTGGCAGTGTTATTAACATTTGTCAACCTACCTTATGAAAACTACTTCTCTTCATGCTACATTATAGAACTCCAATTATTCTGCTAAAATCAGTTACTAACATAGCAACCTGAGTGCTTCTGTCTGTCCTTTCATCCTACAGGGGGGGTTGTCTGTCATTTCTTAGCTTCTCTCAATGTTCATGAGCTTCTGGTGTCTAATAAGTTACAGGATTTGGACCTGCGATCCCTGGTACCACAGTCACAGAATTGGGGGTCATTTTCTAACTGAAACTAATGGAACAAGTTCTCTACCAACAAAGAAACTGTACTGTAGAAATTCATTTCCTCCATGACTTTTATATATATTATGTGCAAATACAAGGTATGTATGTGAATCCAAGTCAACCCTATCATCATGTAGATATCAGTATTCCCTGTTACCGCACAGAAGTGATTTTCTCATGATGAAATAAAGTTCGCACACATACTTTCTCCATAACTTTGGTTTGTTCTATTTGTTTCTCCCTCATTCAAATAGTGACACAAGATTTAGAAAGCAAGGAAAAATATAGTGAATTATTTTAAAAGAGATTTGATCAATCTGTTACAATAGAGAAAGCCTATATGACTATACCCTTTTTTGGCTTTTAGAAATCAATGCTATAATAGACATTTGATCAATCCAGTGTGGTTATACTTTATTTGTGTTATTTCCTACAGTTCCTAAAAAGTTTACTTTAGAGTTTTTGCTTTTGAATTTGCCCTGTTGGTATTAAGAATGGCGGGATGGCTCTTTCTGGCTTTGTGATATAATGGAATCTTTTACATTCTTCTTAGCAAGAATTGACCTCTTTCCAAAGTTCAAAATGAAAGGCCTATATCTGAGGAGATATTTCATGTGTGACAGCAAGTCTGTGTTAATTACATGCATGCACTGGGGTTTGAATCACCTGTCACTAATACTCCCTGAACTCTTGAAAAACCTTCTACCAGCCTGAAGGTAACACTACACGGGGGAGATCAATTGTCTACATTGGTATGAATTCTAATCATTTTTCTCCTCAAAATCACATGTCTGTTTCTGTCTATTTATCAGGCAGTGTTTGGTAAGTGCCCTCTGTGCTATACAAAGCATGGGGCAACTGTTCCCCTGCTATGTATAGCTCACAGGCTATAAGGAAGACAGGTCTTAGAGAAAGAAAGAGATATATAGTTACATACTTCCAAAGCATGCTGAACACTGTGAAAAAGGAAAGGGAGACATCTTGATAAGAAAACAATAAAAACTTTTCAAGTCAATGCAGTGTTATGTGAGTTCAAATTTCATTACTTCACTGAAAACCAGCTCCTGGGATGTATGTATCCAAGACTGCCAGGGGATTGAGGGCTGTCCAAGGTCTAAGACAAATTACCCTTACTTAAGGAGAAATACAAGCAAGCATAAGCAATTAAGAATTTTAATCAAATTGGACAAGGTAGCTCAGTAAGTAAAGATGCTTGCCACCAAGTCTGAGGGCCTGAGCTCAATTCTCAGGACCCCCGTGGTGGAAGAGAGAACCAGTTCTTACAAGTTGTCCTCTGACTTCCACATACCCACCATGTACACCTGCCTTCCCCTACATACACATAAATAAATAAATGTCATTCTAAAAATTAAAGAAATTTTAATGACATTTTTACATAAGGCCCACAGACTTGGTTGGGTATATTTTTTAAGTAATTTACTGAACAGCCATTCTGGCTGGCTGGTAATGTCTTTGAAACCATCTGCAAAAGAGTATCTATTGAAAACCATTATGTAACAAGGCCTTAATACACAGTGTTCTGAGGCTCACTCTGCCTGACAGACTGCACTCTTACCAAAAATAATTAGGTAAGACTGAGAATTGAGAAGGAAATTTTCTGTTTATTTTTTCCCTTCATTCCCTCTGCCTATCTAAAGCAAAATGTATTGGTTTTTGTTTGTGTTTGTTTGGTTGGTTGGTTGGTTGTTATACCCTAGAAAGACTTGAAAGAGAGCAATGGCAATATTCCCAGGTCCCAGATAAACAATTTGAGTCCATTAGCTGGTGGAAGAAAAAAGATTCCTGGGACTCCATTCTGCCAAGCCTCTCAAATCTGGATACTTTCAGCACTTGATTCTGGGGTCTCCTCATCAGAGCTGAAATTTCCAATCACCTGTCCCTCAGGGGAAAGAAGGTGTAGAAAGATGGTTTGCCTGGACAATTGCTTTCCAGATAGACTGTGCAAAGGAAGCAGTCCAGTGCAATCCAGTGCAGTCCAATGAGTCCACTCAATTCTACTACATTAAGGTTTAATTTCAACTAACAGCTAGTCTCTCCAAAAATAAAAGTGTTTCTAAAAGAGTTTTTTTTTCCTTATATTTTCATGGAATTACTATTCTGACTGTTTCATACCTGCAGGAAAAATCAACATGATATAAAGGGGAGGGAGGGCTTCCCAGAGAAGAGGCAGGGAGAGCGAAATCCAAGCAGACACTATTACTATATGCAAGGCCAAAACTTCAGAAATATACCTCAACTAACATCAAAAGAAAACTTGGTTGTTCAAAAGCTTTAACTGAAGAGCTTAATCATGTCAGGGATCTATCTGGCCCCAATCACAGAGATGCCCAGAGTATAGCATCTCTGCCTTAGCGTTTAGTCCCCACACTTCATGGCCACTTGCTCTGATCAGGGCTCTATCTTCTAGGGCTAAGATATTCACCCTGTGATCCAGAATGCCAACTTGAAACCGTAAAGTAAGAAGAATGCCCTCTAGAGCAGGGGGACAAGAGTCACATGAAGTCCAAGCTCATTATTTTTAGATGCCCAATTTGCCTGAGCTCATTGACCCTTTGGTAAGACCACAGCAGCATTAGAAAAGAAGCTACGAGCCCAATGAGGTAGCACAGGCCTGTATCCCAGCACTTGGGAGGAGAAGGCAGGAGAATTAGGAGTTCAGGATCTTCTCTGGCCACATAGTGAGTTCAAAGCAAGCCTGTGCTACATGAGACTCTGCTAAATAAATAAATAAATAAATAAATAAATAAATAAATAAATAAATAAATAAATAAAATCAAAAGAGATGAAGAATTGTTACAGAAGTTGACGGCACTGAGCAAGGAGAAAGACAGTGGAAAAGGCCGAGAGAAGACACGCCCACCACGTCTAGAGCACCTTCTATGGCAGATGTTCCTATTTAAAAAGTGAAAAAGTATATTGCACATTTTAGAAAGATTTCCATCTAAAACATTTAAAAGTCAGCATGTTCTCTAGAGCCTCAATGGGTTATCAGGCATATTTCAGAAGACTTTGTAGAATCACATCACAAAATAAGAAAAAGAAAACAAAAACACCCCAACTGTCAAATTAAAACTTACTTCATTTTGTGCCAAGTTGTTGAGAGCGTCCTTCTTTGTACATGAGAGAGTTCCGTGAAGAAGGACAGCTACATGAGAGTCGAAACATATATTTAGGGTAGTGAAGTATAGAGGAAACATCATAGAAACACCATTCTGGGGCTGGAGGGATGGCTC